TCCGCCACTCACGGGCAAGTGATTTTCCAAAGTGAGTGACGTACGCTTTGGTCGCATTGTAGACAGGCTGGTCAGTAGGAACGTTGACAATGTGTGCGCTCATACTCGAGGTAATAATGAGATTGCCATATCCTTGCCGCGCGAATACCTCGCCAGCATATTTAGCACAATACACAATGCCGTCAACTAATTCTCGGTTAATATCACGATCCTTCATTTCGTTAAAAGAACATATTTCATACCATTCACTGACATTTGCTTCCGGTACTCTTCCAGAGTCTGTTCCAGGATGGGCTTCGAGATCGCCATGCCTTCTCTAAATCAGCTGTCTGCCATACATCAAAATCGCCTCGGGAAACTAACCTGCATTGGCAATGAACACATCAATCTTGCCGAAATCTGTCACGACCTTTCTTATCGTCTGGGATACTTGAATGGACTCCGAAACTGCAGGTCAAAGCTTAGCATTTTGGCACCGTCTTTGTAGGCATTAAGCTCCGCTTACCATCAACCTTGTAAGCGAAAGCCTTTATACCGTGTGCCTTTGCTAGGACCTGGGCTTTCTCAACAGCGACGTCATTTCTGTTAACATGGTTAACCGATTAACATAGGCCAGATATTAAATAAAGGAAACCCTACGAATTATACCACAAGGCAACATGAGCGCCAGCTTCGGCCATAGACTGTGCTATCGCATGACCAAGTCCATCGGCAGCTCCCGTAACAACCACCACCTTTCCGTTCATTTTAAACTGCTCCAAAACATTTGAAGGTGTATCCGGGAATGGACGAGGAAAGCCCTCCCGGTTTTGAGCGCAGTCTTCAATTCTCATAGACATATTGGATATTTTGTGTAGTGGTTGAGGTTTCAAAAGGATGATAGGATAACCCCTCTTTATAAAGTATCCAATGTGGTGTCCCCGTTGACCCACTGTCGGTGCAGTGTTGGCCGAGACGATCTAGGGCCGAGCATCAAGCTGTGTATGCGTGACCTCGATATTTCAATTGATACGCTCCAAATCAAATAGAGGATTGTAGAGCTGATTGAACGGCTATATGAGGAAACAAGAAAATGTGGAGATGTGCGGATCTTCAAATTTCGACTTAATAGGTAGACTAAGACAGCTCTAGCTGGAAGGGCCAATACATTAGTCTGTGAGCAACATCGGGAGTTATATGTGTATGGGACTACCTAGCTGCTTTATGCTCAACCCTCTAGCAAGTTACCAATCCGAATAGCTTACGCCGATTCCCGAGGCATCTAGTGCTGCCAAACATAGACGAGTGTAGTATTATGACTTTAAAAAACTAAAAACCCCAAAAGCTTTATCATTCAGACTTGATTGAAATTGTTATTCTAGGAACATGTCAAAGTTTAGCTACTTCTGCTTTGATGCTATTTGAAATGGTTTGGTTCACGTAGGCCTCCGGGTACCAGACGCCTTTTGCGTACAAGTTGATCCATGCACACAGAAATTCTACTCGACATCGACAGGAGTGGTTTTGTTCCATAGAGAATAAAGATCATTCAGGAGAATCTTCTTCCTCTCAACCTGTTTGATCACTAGTTTATCTCCTAGATCTGGACCGTGGAGGTAGTATCCTACGTAAGAGACAATGAATGTAGGATTTCCGCAAGAGGATAGACGAGAACGTACCTAGGTAGTTGGACCAGCTACTCTACCAATTCGGTCTACAAACCCTCCAGGACCATTCAGGGAATGCAGGCTTATTCGCAGTCCTCTAGAGGGTGAGTGATAAACATATTCATCTACACTTGAACATAATTCGTTGGAACCCCCACGTCACCGTTGTAATTTTTCCTAGTGCTTCATGCCACCCAGAAGCCTGAAGAGACTAAGATTCGGGACCCCGAAATCTCAATTGATTACCTACCGCGTATATTGTACTACAATATACAACGTGAACAAATGTAACAGTCTCTTCAAAAGAAATGTATGACATCATGCTTAGTCATTTGACCGGAAGAGGCCTGCCCTGCAAGCGACAAATGACAGATGCAGCATGTATTTTCCGGACAGCTGGCCAATGAAATGACATATATGCAGAACTCACCTCTGTTTTTAGTTGTTCGGAGTATGTGTGCTAAATAAGACAAAGTAATATCAAAATGGAAATATAGTGGATATACGTAGAAATGGCCTCGATAACAAACCTTTCAACCTCAACCCCAGCTGACCAAAAATCCTCCCAACAGTGTAATGCGCTTAGGAACCTTCATGCAGTGAGAATGAGGAAGCGTTTTGCCTTAACAGATATTAGTTAATATCTATCGATCCTTCTGAATACATTACTGCAGAGGGTGGAAACAAGACATCGAAGAAATACAAGATCCCTTTGCACAAGGCTTGACGGTCATTGATTTTGCTCGTTTCATCGAGTGCTACAGTAGGAATCTTCAATAATCGAGGCATCGCCCAATCTTATGCTTTCGACCCACTCTATGTTGAAGTAACAGCCACCATGATGCTTGGAGATACTAATAAAAATGATACTACCTAGCTTCAACCTGCAAACGGTCAAAGCTCTATGTACATCAACCTGATAGGAGTGGTACCCAGCCTTGTAAATCATTATAAATATGCTGCTACTCCCTCGTAGTTCAACCTCAACACAAATCATCTTAATACCATTTTACCATTTTACCATTTTTCAATACACTTCTCACTACAATGAAGTTCGTCGGAACCACTGCCTTTGCTCTCACCGTGGCCGTTGCCATGGCTGCCAAGCTGTCAGACTCTGCTGCTTTTGACCAGGCTAAGTCCCAGTGCAACGTTGGTGATATCTCCTGCTGCAACTCTGTGGAGGAGACCAAGGCCGATGGACTTCTCGGCAACCTTCTCGCTGGCGGCCTGCTGAACGGTGTTTTGGGTAACTCCAACTCGCCTTGCGCCAAGACTAGCCTCATCGATGAGTTGAACATCCTTGGTAAGTGAACTTAGTCCCGGCGAAATGAGGGATCCAGAATAATGGCACTAACAACTTCAAAGCCTCCGTCAAGGATAGCAAGTCTGGACCCGTCTGCAAGAACATCATTGCCTGCTGCCCTGAGGGAACTACAACTGTAAGTTCAAGTAATACCCACCTCTAACCGTGCTAGTGTCTAACCCCTGAAAACTAGTGCACCGCCATTGACAACTCTGGGGATAAAGGGAAGGAGTAAAGGTGTGTTCAACCAAGGTGTTGAACACTAAGTGCTCACTGGATTAATCAAAAGCCTGCATAATCTTTTGTATCCATCACGAGTTACTAGTTTTTACGAATCAAAACGATAAAAGCCTCCGGCAACCATCTCATATATTTATCGTAGGTCAGATAAAGGAGTACCCGCTTTTAGATAGACGGCTTAGCATCAGTGCAAACTCTTTGTTATAAGGGTGCTACTAGCTGTTCAGAGAGCGAAATAGATCATTCGGAAAAAAAAGAAAGTATTCATATAGTTATATATATGTGCAAGTGATTTTCGAGATAACACCACCCACCACAAGCCACAAAATAAACCCCGAACGTTGAATGTGGATGATTTATATTGTTCGTAAATTTTTCATCCAACCAAAAAAGCATCATTTAGCGTCAAGAACGCTTGATTGCTAAATATCATCGTCCTAGTGATTGGAGTATAGGACACTGCCATTCCATTCTATCCCGTGTAGTCCCGTGTACCAGGTTTGGGGTCTTGAAATAGACCATAGAACTTGTCACACATTGAACGGTCTCAGACTTGGTTGGGAGCTCAGTCTACCTTTTTGAATTGTAATACGCATGGCCATTATTCCGAGATTCGAGTTCCTAACAATTTCCCCACCTAACAGCCCGCTGTCAGAACTGTGATCATCATTATTCGGCATTCGGTGTGTAATTACTCCTGGCCCAACAGAAACTCTGGTTCATTCGTGAAAGGAATTGGGCACATGAGAAATCCCTAAAATGCTCTGATGGCACTTGTGAGTCTTGCTAAATGTAACTTATGAGAATCTTTACCTAACACAACTGATCGATGATCATTCCAACATCAATTTACAACGCTAGGCTGGTGGTATATTCGGCATTCCCAAAAAGGAAACTAGCCGGAATTAACAGCCGGGCTACATGGCTACATGCCACGAATGAAATTGCAACTTCATTGGCCGTAATATCTCCCACCTTCCTTGAGATACATTTCTGTTAGATAGATGCAAATATTACTACTACGAAACAATAGCGTTGACATGGAAATATCGAGCTGCGTGAGGAAGAAAGAAATTATCTACCGGTGGAGGAACTACGAATACTAGGAGCAAATGGGGAGACATGTGATCTTCCCGCAGTTTCAGTTTCATTTTCCATGAGGTTGTAGTCTATAGATCCACCAGGGGTTGCGGAATTTAAATCCGGACATCAATGTGCCCAATCAACCACCAGGACCACAGAAAGTCGAACGCCCTTGAACGCCCCCAAAACTTTAGTCACACAACAGATGAACTTCTGTGCAATCAATATCGATATCTACTGTGTTGAAAGGAGTGTGAGATTTTGATTTGCTGTATTGGCCTTTTCTTTTTTCTTATGAACAGCATCTAACATCAAATCTTTCATGGAGTCATTCACTATAAGGAACTTTTGCAACGTAAGCTTAGCATGAAATTCAATAGTCATCCCGTATTAATGAGTCTTGTTCGTTATCCGTCCCGTTTACGGGTGATCCGACGAAGCAGAAAGCGGCGGGGCTGAGCATTCCGGATTCTTAGATTGACATTCCCGAGACCGTAGCGTAGGTAGTAGATACTCCATGCCATTAGTCTCTCGTATATTCCCAGCAAAATAGAAATGCCGCATACGACCCTATATTCTTATTCTGCGGTTGTGGCATACGTCAGCTTCCGAAACAAGGGCCAAAAACCATCATATATAAAGTCGATGCTTCTATCACCTCATAAAAAACATCCATTTCATCATCTCCAAAGTTTCCAATCCAATCAACCTTTCCAAACATCACCATGAAGTTCACTATCTCTGCCGTGCTTGCCCTGGCTGCTTCCGCCACCGCCATGTCTCTCTCTGAGTCCCTCGCCCTTGGTGAGGCTAAGGACCAGTGCACCACTGGCGACATCTCCTGCTGTGATTCCAAGGAGACCCTGTCTGGCGATGGTATTCTCGGTAACCTCCTCGCCAAGGGTGCCCTGAACGGCCTTCTCGGAAACGACGATGCCGCCTGTGCCAAGACCAGCGTGCTTGACGACCTCAACGTCCTTTGTATGAGTTCCCCAAAGTTGAACCTCCAAAAGAAATATCCTAACATGCCGCAGCTCAAACCAAGGACACCGACTCTGGTCCTTCTTGCAAGAACATCATTGCATGCTGCCCCGAGGGCAACGGCAAGGTAGGATTTCACACTTGTCTTATTCAAATTAATTCCAGCGGCTGACAATTCAAATTTTAGTGCACTGCCATCGACAACTCTTAGGTTCATTCCTATTACCACTGAAGACACAATTCGGCACATGGATTGTCGAGAAATTTGGGAAACTGTCCCCCTGTCTTCAGAGTTGCGCACCTCAGTCGAAAACCCAGTAGTGCTCTTAGTTAGTTAGTTAGTTAGTTAATTTAATTAATCTCTGGAGCCAATGCCGTTACAACTTCCCCCTCATAGATTAAACTACACCTAGGCGATATAACGAAAGTAAGAATCTAAGTCACCCAACCCAGAGCGGTCTCCTGGTTTGGTAAATGTTTTAAGACATGGGCAAATCTCAAACGTATTGTGAGCAGTCGACCTTAGCTTGAACAACAGCTGTCCCGTATTTTCCGATCTATTTTGACACTACTAAACATACCCTGAAGCATCACTGAGTAGCGATCTGACTACCGACTAGGTACAATAAGTGCCCAGGTGGTCACTACTTGGGTAAGTAATCACCTTAAATTATGATACTCAGTGAGGAGGATAACGGGGGCACTCCGATCTGGAAATTCACGTCTGCGGCCTAAAATCCGTTATATATATCTATAGGGAAAGAAGGACTCACAAACGTAAGGGAGCTGCTCCAAACAGTAAACCCGTGAGCAAACATCCATTTCAGTATACCCTCCCCCCACATACAATACATAAAAACAGCCTAGGGAAACTTAAAGGTAGGTAAGCATAGGCTGATACCCGGCTGTTCTCCCGTGGGAAAACATAGTGCAAAATCACTATCTTCTTAAAAGCGAGCTATTATGAATTTGAGTTATCTAAGCAAGTTTTTCCTATCTATTATTCTCCTCTAGATGGCTATGAGCACCTGAGCGCTTGCAGCAAAATACTACTACCGGGAGCAAAATGCCGTGGAATCAGCCATGCAACCCACCCGAAGAAGAGAGTGCTTGTTGTGCGTTGAACAAACCAAACCAAACACCCAATGATACATATCTAAGCAACGGTATATTCTGCGCTGGGGATAACTGCTATATTGGTATATTTTCCAATTCAGGTGCACAGACAAGGCGTTGGAGAGCTCATTATGCCCTACTGTTTGTAAAATTGTAGCTAGTGAATAACTTTGCATATCATCCATATATCATGACTGCGCTTATCAAGGAAAAGTGGTCTTGCTAGCGCATGGTGGTTTTATCACTCTACGCAGCTTCAACGGCCGCGTACTTCGTTCTTCCGTGTCCTGGTGTTGATATAGGGAACTGGTGCTGCAGCGCAAACGGCAGTGACTCCTGCGACCAATTGTTTCGAGTGAACATCCCAACGCTTCCGATACAACCTCGACTGTAACCTATAAGCCCATCAATGCAACAGACTAGAGTGGCAGTACGCAAGCCCATGATTCCCCATCCGTAATTACGATCGGTACAGGTATAGGAGTCCCCCTTGGTGTGTGTCTTATTGCGACGCTGTGCTGTTCTTACAACGTGGTATGTATCACTGGTGGCTGGTGGAACACGAGCATCGTATGGCGGCTCAGACGGCATTTATTGCAGCCGATCTCAGGCCAGAGCAGGCCAGTCAATATGTGGCCACACAACTTCCGCATGGATATTTTGGTTCGAGGTGGTTGGTGATGGTGTAACGACGAGATTGCCAGCCTATTATGAAATATTAAAAATCCAATTTCCTTTCCTCCTTTCAATTATATCCGAGGGTTTTCATATTGGAAGTTGACACTCGAAAGGCACAATACAAAATGGAGAGTATGAAGATGTTTCGGTAAATGCTTAGACATTTGGAAGGCCCAAAATAAATCCCCATTGATAAGCGTGAGGAGCCCATTTGGGACAAAGCGAAGGATGAACAGTTTTGTGTCTAGTAATGAAGATCGATAAGGGTCGTGGTCTGCAGGGGTCTGGCTCAGGTTAAAGGCGTCTATTCCATATGGTACCCTTTACCTACGTATATTTGTATTTCTAAGCCAGTCCTATAGATTGCGGAATATCTGATGCGCCAGGAGTCGACACCCGCTATCATTTTATTTTAAGTTTAAGCAGGAACACCATAGCCTTATTGTTCTATGATTTAATCCAGTACAAAGCCTTGGAAGTCGTCCATCTAGTGAAAATACGACACAAAGCGAATACAAAAATTGCTCTTTTCAACTGCCTACCAACCGTCGTATCGTTAGAAGTAGTAAAAAGGAAGAGCATAGTAAATTAGATAGGCCAAAGTAGAATAGTTAGCAGCATGCTAATATTGTAAACTTTTATAATGCATAATCATCGATTGATCCATTGGTGGTTGGTACACTGCAGGACACATCAATCCGGTTACAAAGGTTGCTCAGGGCCCCAGGACTTGAGGTGGTGGCCTAGAATATTTGGACTCGTCCTTCAATCATGTATTCAATCATCCGCATTATTACACAGCATTTCCACTCACGAGATACTCAGGAGATTGTGATCTGTTGGGGTTCACTCGTGGTCACACCATGCTACCAGAACATGCGAGCACGGATCCTAATGAGAAAGATAGGAAGAATGGCGAACCATGAGTTCTTGAAACGTTATCTACATGGCAATATGTGACATGAAGGGGCTTCTCGCCTTCGGTGTTGGTTCGATGGGGTAGCACAGTTATGCCGATCTTGCGTATGACTCTCTTTCAAGTAATCTGTTGGCACGCTTTGGGTGCTGGGTGTGCTATGCACATCACGACCCAGTTGAGCATAATAAATATTGCGAATGGGTATTCTACTAGCTATTGGGAAAAGGAGACACAACAAACGTTGGGAGATCAATTTGAATTAGTATTATGATGGCGCAATGTGTTTTGGGTGTGGTTGATAGGGATATGATAAAAGCCCGAGACAGAACATCACTGGAAAATATTCTACATTCCAAAAGAGTCTGAAATTTTATTTCAAACAAGCATACACCATTGAAGCTTATACTTGAAGTGTTTCAGAACATTTCGACGCCACTATGCATCTTGCTGAAGTATGAAATCGATATGCAGACCATATTGATATATGGCTAACACGTTTACATCTATTGTAGTATCTTTTCCGCCGCATTCACGAGCTTGGAATCCGTTCCATATTTGGGGTTCCTGGCGATTACAATCTCAAATCCCTTGACTACATTACTCCATGTGGTCTCAACTGGGTCGGTAACGTGAACGAGCTCAACGGCGGTAAGTAGATGGACATACTTTCCACTTGACCGAAACACATGAACCTTATTACGTTTTACCCATAGGCTATGCCGCCGATGGTTATGCCCGCATCAAAGGAATAGGGGCAATCATGACTACATTGGGTGTTGGGGAGCTTTCAGCCATCAATGCCATAGCAGGCGCATGCGCCGAGCTTGTACCAGTCATCCATATCGTCGGGTATCCCTCAACAATTATACAGAAAAAGCGCCTCCCGATGCACCACACTCTGGCAGATGGCGACTTTAGGCGATTTGCCAGAATGAGTAACGAAATATCGAGCGCCGTGGTCGTTCTGGAAGACAAATCAGATGCGACTAGACTCATCGACGAAACAATTATCGAGTGCTGCCGTTCCAGCAAGCCCGTCTACATTGGCTTCCCAGCGGATCTTGTCCAGGTAGAGGTAGATCCATCTCCGCTTGAATATCCCCTGGGTCTCGAAGGACCCAGCCCCAATCCGACGGCGGACAAGGATTATGGCGTGGATCTGATTCTCGGCCGTATTCGGGCGGCTCAGAATCCGATAATCATCGTTGAGAGTCTGGCCGGAAAGCCGCACGGCTTGAACACAACGAGGCTATTCGTGGAAAGCTCGGGACTTCCTTGCTTTACTACACCAATGGCCAAGGGCATAATCGATGAGACCTTGATAAACTTTCGCGGCTTGTACGTAGGAAAGATCTCGGAGCCTACCGTTTTCGAACAAGTCCTGTCCTCCGATTTAATTCTAGTGCTTGGGCCACGTCCAACGGATTTCAGCACAGCGGGGTTCAAGACTGATTTGCCTCACATCGAGACCATCAAATTCGAACCTCACAGGATCCAAATGCAATATCAAGGCACTCTGGGGCTCGATATGAAAGGTGTGCTAGAAAGGCTCAGCTATGTTTTTGAGAAAGAACAGTCAGGATCTGTCTCCACGAACTCAACGGCCTCTACACCACCCCGCAAGCTTGATGGCACACCCGATATACATGGAAACATTTCACCCTCCTCCAATTCACCGAAAGAAAGTGTGAACGGCCATGAATTTATTGATTTCGAGGGTAATATTCTCGACAAGTCTCGGCCATTAACCCAAGAGTGGATATGGCCACGCCTGGCTTCCTGGCTCGAAGAAGACGATATCATATCCGCGGACATCGGAACTGCTGCATTTGGCACGATATGGACTCGATACCCGCGCGGAGCAATTCCACTAACGCAATTCGTTTGGTCTTCCATTGGATATGCCGTCGGGGCAGCAGTGGGCGCGGCCCTCGCTGCACGGGAAGACGAGAAGCAGTCCCAGGGTGCTCGGTGCCGACGGACTATCTGCTTAACGGGGGATGGCAGTTTCCAACTGACCGCACAAGAAGTCAGCACCATGGTCCGCCGCAAACTGGGAATTATTATTTTCATTATTTGCAATGACGGCTACACGGTAGAGCGCATGATTCATGGCATGGAGGCAGAGTATAACGATATCCAGCCATGGGACTTCAAGCTTTTGCCGGCTGTTTTCCGGGCCGCTCCAAATACTGCTCGCACCTATGCTGTTCGGACCAGGGCTGAATTGAATATGCTGCTTGACTATCCATCGTTTGGTCCCGCTGTGCATTATGACGAGAAGAATCCTCCCCCGTTACGTATTGTTGAGCTGTATATGGATAAATATGATGCACCGGAGAGTTTGCAGGGGACTATTGATTCTATTCAGGATAAGCACTGAGGGTGATTGTTGAGGTTTTCGGTTATCTCGATTATTTTGGTTTGTGCTAGAGAGTGTTTTTTTTTTGAATTTAATACATCCAGTTTAGATAGAAAACCATTTATTTGTTTATAATCCATATTAAGACGCAGACGTCATAAAACAGTAGGGCTGAAAGGGGAACACGTGCCAAGATCTCGCAAAGCTTGACTGAAAGCTTGGTGTCTCCCGAGGTCTTTCCGAGGGGGTCTCCCGTCCATTTCCGTTCGATTTCACGTGGACTTCCTTATTTTCCGCATGGCTTTCCTGTTTCTTTTTAACTGTTTCTTAAATAGTAAGTCACTGTGAGACATTTGATTTACGAAACATAGCCTCTCTTGAGGACGCCAACACACAATACCTATTTGCGCCGACCTCAGCCCTCAGCCCCACAGACCTAATAATATGGCTGCCTGCGTTCTGACGAATTGCCTGGTGTGGACTGTACGGAGTACTCCGAACTCTGTACTATGTAGTGGAAAAGAGTTTTGATGCTAGTACTACTCCGTATGTTTCATTTCAATAAATCACACGGCTGACCCCGGCTTATTTACTTTCCCCTTTATTTTTCATCTTTCCCCTCTCATCTTCTTCAACCATCTCCCCTCTTTTCCTCATATAAATTATCCGCCAAAATGTTCGGCTGGTTCAAGTCTTCCAACGAGTCCAAGCCCACACAGGAGCCTACCTGGAATGCGGCCACCATGGCCATGGAACAGCCCTCCAACGCCGAGGCCATGTCTTCCAACAACGTCGTCTCCCAGCAGCCTGTATGCTCTCCGATTATTATTCGCTGAGGTCAAAACTAACTGATTTTCTAGTGTGCCGAGTCCATGAAGATGGAACTCCGCGGTGGCGGTGAAGGTGGTGATATCTGCTGTGGAATGTGAGTCTTCCAAGGCTATCTCGCTGCCTTATTCAACCAAGCAGAACTAGGAAGATTGACTGACATTTTTTTTTTACAACAGCTGCGCTGGTATCGCTTGCTTCGAATGCTGCGAATGCTGCTGCTAGATATCTCGACTATGAAATACTGCACTCCGATTGATGAACGTGTTGGGATGGAACGTGGCGCCTGTGAATACCGAGAGCTATAATGGATACCAATTTGCCGCAATAATACACTGCCGTTGGATCTGTCTTCCACTTATAATATGTCTCTTGTCACGGCCCCTAGTTGGTTGTCAAGTGGATCACGCGCTCTAGTATCGTATTGAGGTATTAGTTAAGTCTACATATGTAGGTCTGGATCCGTCAGAGGTAAATTACCGGAAGGGCATATCCGTATCACCACAGGGGGTCAGGGTTTCACTATACAGGTGCAACTAGGTGGATTCTCATGATATTTTCTTTTATATATATCACCTTTATCTCCTAGCTGGAAGAGCGAGAACAACGAAGCAAAGCAAGACAAGAAAGCAAGAGAAGCCTAAATTATAAAATTCATATTACATTTAAAGAGCCAAGACAGTTTATTGCTCGCATTTTTTCCCTTTGGAATTGAGTCGACCGCTATCATCCTCACCAGGCCAGAGCATCCCTTAGAAGGGATATAGATATTAGCCATCGAAGGTTGTCAGCCGGCGAAAATTTATCTAGATTGTTGCATTTGTAGCTAATCCCTGAACTACTTAGTTAATCTGCTGATATGTGAGGAGTTCATAGAAGGCTTCGTATAATTTGAGATGTGTTAGAGGTAGATGCCTTGAAAAATAATTGTAGGCGATTATGATACAGTGACTTTTTAATCCATTGGTAGGTAACTGCTACATAAACTCACAGGTGATATAGGTAATAGTGGTATATAGTGCAAATCCATGGACACTTAATAGCAAAGGTCAAACTGCAAACTGTAAATAAAGGCGTCGACACAGCAAATGCCATAATCTCAATGGATATCGCATAGCAAAATTTGTTATAAATGAATCTATTCTTGAGGATATTAAAACATTTAAATGTAGTTAGTAGGCTGTTGCCCTCATAGCTTCCAAACGGCGCTAGCCGTAAAAGGAAATGGAGCTCCCTTCGATCTGCGCATAAACATCGACTCTTTGCAACTTATGGGAACAACCATGCCTCACTTGCGCCGACAACCGAATCCACGTGATATAATACCTAATCAAGACCCCAATGCCCCAGGGGACCTCCGAACACAGTTCCAGACCCCACCAACGCGTCACACTCCCACCAACCCAACCCATCGACAACAACCCCCCTCCACCGGTCCAAATGCCCTCACCCCCGACCCAGTCGCCGTGGCGGGGCATCCAGCAGCACCAATAAATCCTTTCACAATATTTGGAAGACCAAGGGTAGAGCAGCCACCACCGCAAATGATGGATGACGACGACTTTGACGATGATTTCGACCCGCGCGGGCACAGCATGCAAGAGCTTGGCAACGACGGACCACTCGACTTCGACGATTCATTCGATGATGGTCAGGCCATTGAAGGGCAATTCGATGACTCCGATATTGATGGCGAGGAACTGGAGGAAGTAGTCGAGGACCAATTCGACGACGAAGAGGACCCCGACCAAGAGATGCATGATCGAGGTACTGATTCCCGCTCCCATACTTTACTCGTGGCTACAATTCAAGACTGTGAGCTAATACGCTTACGCTACAGAAAAATCACCCTCCCCCTTGCCACCCAACCTGCGCGAGATCTCGTCGCTCGCTTCCTGGACCGTCTCCACCTCCAAGCCGGGCTGCGGCGTCGCGGCCCTCCGCAACCCTTCCCCGGCACAATACTGGCAATCCGACGGACCACAGCCACACACCTTAACCCTCCACTTCTCCAAACTGGTAGCTGTCGTGCGTATTCGCGTATATCTCGATTTCGAGCTCGACGAGAGTTACACGCCTACGAAGATGATTTTCGCAGCAGGAATGGGTGGCAACGACCTCGTCGAGTTCGCAACTTGGGAAGGTGACGGACCATGTGGCTGGGTTGATGTGCCACTGGAGGGCGTCGGCGGTAGAAATGGCGGGTGGGTGCGCAATGACCCTGGGAAGTCGAAACGCCGATCTACGAGTATGCGTCGGCGGACAATTGTGTACCGGAACTGTGATGACCCTGACCATGAACATGATGATGAATGTGATCCGGTTTATGATATTGATGAGCCTGATAGCCAGAATGATGAGGATGATCCCTATTCTGGGAATGTGCTGAAGGCTATGGTTATCCAGATGCGCATTATGGAGAACCATCAGAACGGCAAGGATACTCATGTCCGTGGGTTCCAGGTGTTTGCTTGTGATGATAGTCGTCGGATGGCCGCTGCTCCCTCGGCTTCTGCTGATGCCCGGCGCCGTCGCACGTCCCTGCGTGGGGCCTATGATCTTCGGGGACGTACTGCAAGTGAAGATGCTGACACTGGGTTTACTATAACCGGTCTAGACGAGCCGGATTGGATGGGTGAGCCGGTGATTCGATAAGCAGGGGCTTTTTACAAGGATAAAAAAAAAAAAAAAACGGGCGTTGATTGGCTTGCAAAATGTCAACGGAGGTTTTATTATCGGAGTTACGATGTCTACATGATACCCAGATTCAATTTTCTTTTTTTTGCATGAGTTTGGGTCGGCGAGTGAACATCATTAGGCATTTTTGTGCTAGTGAAATACATGTTGCATCTTAAAACGGGTATTCAAATTTTTAGTTTTTTATGCTAGTCATATCTCATATAGAAACATCGAAGAGGATGCTTTGTATCTACTTGAGCAGCTTCTCCAGCTCGGCGGCGACGGCATCGCCGACCTCGGTAGTCTTGGCTGTGCCGCCAATGTCGCCGGTGCGGACACCAGCCTCGATGACGTTGCTCACAGCCTGCTCAATCAGACGAGCCACGTCGATCATATTGAAGGAGTACTGCATCATCATGGCAATAGACAGGATAGTGGCGACGGGGTTAACGATACCCTTGCCGGCAATGTCGGGGGCGGAGCCTGTAAATACCAATTAGCCAAGTTCAGAACCAAGACTGACAAAAAGCAATGAGGACAGAATACATACCGTGAATAGGCTCGTAGATACCGTTAACACGGCTCTTGCCATCAGGAATACCGCTCAGACTAGCACTGGGAAGCAGACCCAGAGAACCGGGGATAACACTAGCCTCGTCGCTAATGATATCACCGAACAAGTTGCTAGTAACAACAATACCGTTCAGCTTACGGGGGTCCTTGATCATGAGCATAGCAGCGGAGTCAATGAGGTGGTGACCAATGGAGACCTGGGGGTATTCCTTCTCCATAATCTCGGTGACGACCTTACGCCACAGACGGCTGGTAGCGAGGACGTTGGCCTTGTCCAAGCTCCAGACGGGCAGGGGAGGGTTGTGCTGCAGAGCGAGGTTGGCGGCGAGACGGATGATACGCTCGATCTCGTGGCGCGAGTAAGGCTCAGTGTCCATGGCGTATCCGGAACCATCGTCCTCTGTGCGCTCGCCGAAGTAGATACCGCCCGTCAGCTCACGGATGATGTTGAAGTCGACTCCGCGGCAAATCTCGGCCTTAAGGGGCGAGCTCTCGACCAGTGAGGGCGCTGCGAAGTTGCAGGGCCGGAGGTTGCCGAATGTGCCCATCTCCTTGCGGAGCTTGAGGATACCCTGTTCTGGGCGCACGGCGCCAGTTCCCCATTTCTATTGAACACAATGTGTGAGTGGGCTTGCTCTTGGTGTTTTGTGCGGGGGGGAGGGGATGGAGGGGTTGGGAATGTAGACGTACTGGACCTCCAATGGCACCGAGGAGAACGGCATCGGCGTTCTTAGCGGCGTTCAAGGCCTCGTCGGTCAGGGGCGAACCGGTAGCGTCGATAGAGGCCTGCGATTGTTAGCCATTGAGCTTTCGTCGCGTGTGGGGGGTATACTCACACCACCGAGAAGGTGATCCTGAAGGTTGAAAGTAATACCACGGGATTTCTCAATAACCCGGAGGACCTGAAATTCAATCAGTACGTGTATCCCGCGCAATTTCAGCTTGCAATGTTACCTTGACAGCCTCAGCGGTCACCTATTCTCTAAATATCAGTCCTGTATTCAATTCCCTCACAAGAGCTCTCAATGACATACCTCGGGACCACAGTGGTCACCACCAAAGACGACGATATTGAAGGAAGACATTATGTAGTAATATGAAGAAAAATGATTGACTCAATTATCCAGGTTGGCAGCTTCAGAATATAAAGGCGGGTGAATTTCAGGTTCAACCCCACCAAGTCCGACATCGGCGCCGATGACATAAATCCAATCATCGGCGTCGCTTAATCACGGTTACATCCATCCATATAACTCTAGGACGATACTCTTCATCTACCTCTTTCAGCTTTGTTTTGCCCTTGATCAAATCTAGGAACTTGTTGCTTATTATTCCTACCTTTGCACATTTGATGCGGTTGTGTTTTTGGCCATTCACAGTTAACAACTCATCTATCTGGAAAATGTTGATAATTCCAGCGACTTGTGAGCCAAGCACACTAAGATGACATGGATCGAGGCTATGTTGTACTCATCTACAGATATTGCATACATAAAATCTCCCAAAGATTGTCCACGCGTGTCAAGCTATTGGTTGCCATACCCTTGAAGCTGTGTCTCTAATCCGTGACGCCATAAGCTGGCGCTGCTTCCCTCCATGTTTCCAGATTTTACATGTTGTTCTCTTCATAAAGGCGATAAAAAGCATAAACCGTGTAGAGGACTGTCACTATAATTATAGCTGGAGGCTGCTGCTAGCCACACTCGACTAGCCACATGGCATCTGGCCCCTCATCCCGTCACTACATAGCTAGCTTCTAGTTTAGCCTGAAGGTGCCATCTTCCCTACCAAAGGACATACCACCTTAGTGTGTAAGAATCGAGGTCCTTGACCGTTCAATCTTGTGGCCAATTCATTCAAAGCGTAACCTTGACTCAAAACAGTGGCTCTCGCCTTATTATTATTCACTGTCGATATGGACTCTCCTACCACAAGAATAGTCATTTACGCTTGCATTGTCGATATAGATGGTTGTTCCCAACGGCGCCATGCCAAAATTGGGAAAGATTTCTGTGGCATTGTCCTGAATGTGCATTCAATCCTACACTTCATCCGGCAAAATGCGACTATCTCCCTATTTCTGCTGACTTCGACTCACTGAAGCTTCTTAAAAGATGGTTCATTCTTGATCTAAATGTTAGTGCGCCACTCAGCCGGGACAGGGCTGCTTCGTATACTTGAAGTGGTAAAGTGGAGCAGAAGATTATTAAGAACATTCAGAAAGTGACCAATAATGAGACAAAATAAATAACGGATTATAAGGTCTCGTTCATTACTCTAGGGTTGTTCTGGCCATGTTTCTCCCTTCTACATGATGCAGTATTCGTTGTCCTTATCCTCTTGCCAGCCGTTGACGTCTTCACGCTGATAAGGACCAGTTATTTCATCTTAAATGGCAGGTCCACATGTCGCTACATAAACTGTTGCAACGTCGAAGGAACAAACGTGGACTAAACCACCTGAAAGGGAAGATCGTCCTGTTAAGCCAATAGTTACAAAAGAGAGAGCCTGAGGGATATATCGAAGAAGTTGAATAAGCTCTTTTGGTAGGTTGATGTAGGCTTGACTAGCGAAACTCTCTTCCAAGATTGTCTCGTCCTTGACACGTGAACATCTTTGAATGGGAGCTTACTTTTCACATTTTCTTTACGCTGCTCCCGAATCTTCAACCCTCATCATTTTCCGAAGTCTCACTAGCTCCTTTCTTACGAATGCAGCCCCTATTATACCTGTGAACATAATTCGCCCGGCCATAGGGGTCCCACGTCCTTCCGTGCTTAGCAGCACCGGCAAAAGCCATGGATAGAGATATCTGGGATTTCTAGGGACCTCGGTCTGGGGAAGGAAAATAGCGACAAGGCGACTGGATAGATTAATTTATCTTGGATGTAGTAAATCTACACATATCAAAAGCGGTAGCCAAATCTCTTTCAATAAGTTAGAAACGCGCAAATCCAACGGTATGCATAATTCCGAAGTATGATCAAGTACTGAGGACAAGTACAAAAAGCATTCTAAGAGTTGATAGTGGCTGGTCTGTTAGACCTGTATCTCCCATCTGGGTTATTAAATTTATTACACCACAGAGATAATTGACGCTAAGTCGGCTGCCGAAAATAGCTGCTTTAGACGCGTTCTCCGATTTCCTGTTACGTCCGGAGTCGTTAAGTAGTATTCAGCCTTTCAATTGCTAGCAAAAATACATATTTCCCACCGGTCTATAATATAATAAACTTTTAATGTACAATACATATCGAAATCTCTATATCTTCCCGCCCCGATTGAATGATAGCTCTCCTGGAAGCTCCGAGCCTTAGTTCTCTGGATCGGACTGCTTGATAGGTTCCTTCCGCGGAGCGATATATGGCTTTCGTCGGTCTGACATGTCAAGAGCAGCCAATGAAACAATGACAGCCAGCGTTAGACCCTGTGCATACACACGGGCCTGCACAATCTTTTGTTTGCCCGTCAGGTACGGGTTGCGACCGACCAGAATAAAGGAACCAACCATGCTGGCAACAAACGTGGCGCCAGCAAGCTTGTATTTCTGTTCCCTTACCCAACTGAGCAGCTGCTGCGGTTTACTTTGTTGGTAGTTGGATTCCATTGTTTGGATGTATTTGGGTCTGCAACTTTGGGGGTTGTCTCGAGGCTGGGAGAAGGGTGATCTATGAAGACAGTTGTTAGTATGATTCCACGTTGAGAACTAAGAAATTACTCACTTCTTATGATGGATTTTCCTTTTGGTAGGAGATTCCAAGGGTAAACACAACGAGTTTGAGCCTCGGAAGTTTACAAGTTTACTGAATATTGTTATCTCTTCGGATCCGACTGATACGAACGATCTCCGGTAGATAAGAAATTGGGTCGGTGAAACTTTCTGCCGCAACGATCCTTCTCCACTTTTCTCCACTCTAACCATATTCGGCATTGATTCACAGGTCCACTGATCGGAGTTCCTACCGAAATCGAAATGTGTTTATAGGTGTAAGGCGAAATTCAAGGAAAGAGAGATTTCAACTTCCCCTTTTACTTATATCTCCTTCAATGTCCTCTCTTTGATACCTTATAACTCATCCTAGGTGCGTTACACCCATCATTAGCAATAATAACAACGTTCTCTTTCCTCGGCTCACTGTAAGTCTTCTATTCCTCCATTTTCAGCCCAATTACTGATCAATCAGTCTTCAGTCTGCTACGCCATGTGGATCACGCGCGGAATATCACTTGTCAACTTCGGAGTTGCCTCTTCAGCGTTGGCATTTCAAGTCTTCGTCCTATACCCATGGCACCATCAGTTAGACGCCGAGTTCAAAGCTTTGAAAAAGGAACACCACCGAGTACTGCAGCAGCTCGATCTACGGAAACCCCTGTGACAGTATAAATGAAGCGCAAATCGCAAC